TGTTTTTTATAGCATCTCTAGTAAGGGTAAAGAATATTATTGCTCCTATTTGGCACAACACAATTTGCATACTTCCACAACAAAATTTCTATACTTATTACTGATTCATGATAAGAAGAAAGATATTTTCATATTAAATATTTTTCTTCTACAAAAACTTTAGTTATCTTTTTAAGTTGTTACTAATTCGTTAAAATATCAAAAATATCAAAAATATTTAAATTTTAAATTCCTACAAAAATCGTTGTTAGTTTAAGTAATTATCTTTTTAAAAATAGAAAAACTTTCTAAAAAGTGCATATTGCATAATCTTCTCCGTTGGTTCGATATTCAGACCTTAATAAAAAATTCTCATATTACTTGATAATGATATGTATACTTGCGTAGTATCCCAATATAATATTTTATCTACAAGCCGACAGATAACAGAAAGGGCGGTATGGGTATTAGAAGATTTGCTGAGGCTTTATGTTCTTGATTTTGTAGGCAATTGGGAAGTTAATATTCTAATGATTAAATTTGCCTATAATAATAGTTATCAATCCAGTATTAAGATGGTTGCTTATAATGTGTTATATGACTAGAAATGCATAACTCCATTAAGTTAGTCTGGGGCAAGAGAAACTTAATTATAGGTCATGCATTGGTTTATGAAGCCGCAAATAAAACCAAGCTAATCAGAGACATTGAAAGTTGTTCAAAATTGACAAAATAAATATAGACCCTAAATACATTGAAGTAGAGTTTGAATTTAGTGAGTTCGTGTTTCTAAAAGCCAGACTAATGAAAGGTACAACCAAATTTGGTTAGGAAAACAAGTTGAGCCCCAGAGACATTGATCCTTTTGAAGTAGTAGAAAGTGTTGGTCGAGTTGCTTACAGGCTAACTTTATCTCCTCATATGTCAGGCGTCCATGTATTTCACATATTGAGAAAATGGGCTTCAAACTCAGATCCCTAGCGGAGTCTCCAGAAGCTGTCGGTGCTATTTTAGTTTGATGGGGAGTTGCCCGTAAGAAGCTGTCGATGCTATTTTAGTTTGATGGGGAGTTGTTCGTAAGAAGCTATCGGTCATCGGAATAGAAATCTCGTTGCCTGCCTCAAAAGGACCTTGAAGTTTACAAAAGTATGAAATCAAACTGACCCCATATTTTTCATAGTTTAAATGAAAGAGCTCTATACCTCAAACCCTGTATTTATCCCGAAGGATAAACAAAAGACTTGAGGAAGTGGCTCGATCAAATAAACTAAGGAATATATGACATCTGTTTGGTCTGTGAAACTTTTATATTTGCCAAAAAGTTTCCATATTTAATACAAATGATTCATACATATTCCTTATGTCAAGATAAAATAGAAACATATGAGAAAAAAAAGCTATTTGGGAATAAGAAAATGATATGCAACAGAGATTTTTATTTCTTTTTTAGTAGATATTCAAAAATTTTGAAGGACAAATTTTTTATAAGGGGAGTATTGTAATACCCACTATTGATAAACAACATAAAGTTTTGACTACTTTAAAATAAACCTCAATTTTTGCATTCCCTAAAAAACAAAGAAGCTAATTTTATAAAATTATATATTTATCAATGATCAAATTGATATATAACAATGCATAAATTATTGATGTATTGGGAGGTACGAAAATTTGAAATATCATCTTAATTAAACTTAATTAAATCTTAATTAGCCATGTTAATCATTTTGTCGCTGTAGTAAATTCGCTTTATGAAGCATACTATAGATGGTTAAGATTTAAGAATGCGGTAAATACACGTATAGATGTTTTGTATTTCTGAATCCCCTCTTTTGAATTCCTTTACCTGCAAGCCTCTTTACTCTAGCGCTGTAGCGAAAAAATATTACATCAGTACTACGCACGTAGAGTAACGTGCGTAGCCATTGAAATCACGCCACGACACCCCACAAGACAGAAAAAAATGGCGCGGTAACACGAAGAATATTCCCCGTGTGTTATTGTGTCATAGGAATATTCCTGGTGTTATAATAACACAATAACACATCAGTAACACATAATAATTGAGTAATCCACCTCTACTACACCACGATTGACCCTAAATGTGAAACTCAATAGGGGTGTGGCGTGGCAGATGAAAGGAATAAACTTTCTATATTTATCATTTTAATATGTAAATAAATATTTCATTATTATTTGCCAATAAAAATGAAATATTTAATTATTTATCATATTTATTGTATACAATAATTTAAATAATCTCAATCACTATGAAAGGGTTGGAATCGCTCCAATGACGGATAGGATTAGACAGTCACCTTAGATAGTTTGGACACATTAAACATTGACCATATGATGACCCTATTAGGTAGCTTTAAAAAGACTAGGTATTTTGTATAAAAAAATTATCTTAATTTATTAAAATTAAGTGAAAATATGACAGCATGACACAATGGAGCAAAAGGAATCATATAGCCGACCCCACTTAGTGGGACAAAGGCTTATTGTTTTTATTATAGAGAATCTAAAGCTTATGGGATTTAGTAAATCTTATTAAAGTCACAAAAAACTTTATTAGAATTTGCATAGTAACATACCAAACAGGATTAGTTTTGTTTGCTGGCAATAAAATGTGAAATCTAATTGGCTTCCTTCCTAGATACTTTGATGGGCATTCCATGGAAATCATATATACCTTCTTTTTGTCATTGTTCTTTGAATAATAATCTCTTCCCTTATAATTAATTATGCTTGTGGTATAGCTACGATCCACAATCTCTATCAAGGTGCCTTGAATGGAGGACAAAACCTAAACCCACTTAAAAAGTGTTTTCTACACGTAAATCATTGGATTGTGCATGAAAAAAGAAAGCTTCGAGATCAAACCTGAAGCCATCAAGTAGTTTGGTGAACGCCGCACGAAGCATAGAAAAACCCTAGCAGAACCCCTCGCCTCATCTAGAGTATTACCATTGCATTTGATTGAGATGCATCCAAATTATAGCACGCAAGAAGAATAAACTCAACATTTTGACATCAATGGCTTCATTTGATACAATAAATGTTATGTTTTATAAAATGATCATATCTTCATATAGACTATGAAATGCTCCGTATATCAATCTATATGCTCATGAAATCACAATGATGTATGTGCAAAAAAATAAATAAATAATGATTATTTCTTTTAAGATGAAACCATTTTTTAAATATTACACATTATCAACACAAATATCAACACATCATGTATGGGGATGCATCCTTTCTAAAAGAATAACTTCTCTGCAGAAATTCCATGAATAAAATGTTTTCCATGTCTGAGACACGTAATAAAGCATTAATAATTCAAATGTACATAAGAGCACATCAACCAATTCATAAATAATAAAAAATGCATACCTAAAACACAGGAAACGACCATTAAGAAGCAATGGAAAACGTCAAGTATGTTACCCAGCGGCCTGAAAATCTCCAAAATCATCTTCAGCTGTACTTTGAGGACCTGCATCAGTGACAGCATGGGGATCTTTGGGGGGATTCTCTGCTACCAAAAATTGGATTTTTTCACTTTCATTACTGGTGCTAGTACGATTGGAATAAGATGCTGGTGAGCTAAGTGATGATCTCTCGACTGGACTAATAGGCGAGGGAGGTGCCGGCGGCGGCTTAAGGTATGTCAAGCCTCCTTCTTTCACGGTCGGTTTGTCTTCTAGTGAAACCTTGTTAAAGCGTTCAAATAGTGCTGACTTCGCGCCACTACTTCCTTTCTGGTTCATGCAAAAGAATGAGAACACGATAATTCAGACTTGTATCAATAATTCTATAACAAAATGATATATATTTCTTCTCAAAATTTTCAAGTTAGTATATGATTAGATCTATTTGAGGCTCAAATTTTTCAATGTTTTATTTTCAGATCACTGTCACACAGTTAATTGGTTACTTCTCTAAAATTTGTGGCAAAAAACAGTTTTTTACAACTATACCTGTTAGTGAAGTCGTTTTAAGAATGTTGTTATTCAATTTTTTCAAAAGAAAAAAATATTTATAATATCCACAACTTTTAAGAAAATAAGAGTTATGATAGATCCTGAGAAATGTTAAAAAATTAGGTGTATTGCATTATAGCAAAATCAAAATCATCTTAATAAATGATGATCAATAGGACTGTCTGAGAAAAGATGGAGGCAATAAGCCAATGAACGTTTAATGGAAACCAAAGGGAAAATATGAAAGAAAAAACATATAATGCAAGGATGTGCAGACAAGTTATGATTACTTTAACACGTAGAGACAAAACAATCTTGTTGCAGCATAATAAGGATGTCACTCTAAGTTCTAACTTAACAGCACTAGCATGTCAGCATCTATCCAGAAGCAATTTCGTTGCAAAATAGGATCATCAACAGATATACTCCACTAAAAACTAAATTTTCTAGGGAAAATATAAAGGAATATTAACACAAAATCCAAAATGGGATAATTGAGGACATCATAATGTTAAGTCTTCAAAAAAACAGCAACTGCTGAGAGAATCTCAGATGGTGAGAGGAATTTATGCACTCTGTCGGTTTACAAATGTTTAAGAAGTCAGCTTATGATCAGCTGACAAAGCACCTTGCTGGGTACTCGGAATGAGCAAAAAAGGTAGGAAAATACAAGAACCTTAAATAGAATCTTGAGAAGGTTTAAGATTTATTCATGAAATTTTTTATGGAAAAATACCACAAGTTTCTTTAGTTCGCCATTAATTAATTTAAAGTTTCATACTTGTTAGTGTAGAATACACTTAAGGTAAACAAAATATTACTTGCGCTAACAAATCATACCATGTTAAAACTTCATTAAAGCAAACTATTTTAAATGGAAACTATTGCCTACAGAAACAATTTTCTATCTATCAACATGTATAAGAAATACAATAGGACAAGAAATTCTGATTTTTAAGCATGCTTGAATCATTCCATTTTCCCAAATGGAAACTTAATGAAATCAAATTTACTCCTATATTAAACTGTGATACACCAATTATTAAAGATATTTTGGCCATTAATTTTTTTTCGGTACCCAATGGAAAAAGTATCAATCATAGCACAAAATAATTCTCATGTCGTCATTGAGAGAGTAGTATCAACATCCATACACCAACATCGTGAGGCCAGCTTTTCCAAACCAACTTCACTGACATCTTTAAGCCTAAACAATCAAAGATGTCGTATATGTTTGACCACATGAAGTACCAAAAGAATTTCTAAATCAACTTCAACAACACACCATGATCAAAAACACTCAAGGCAGTTCAATATGAGTATGTTCAATTGAGCTAAGTCTGGAAACAAAGAGAACTTACATTCTTGATCTGAAGAAAAAGAGTTTGTCCTTCTTTTAGACTATAATCAACTGAGGATTTTGCTTGGTAGAGTTGCTCCATCTCTTCAGCAGTTTGTTTTTTATTTAGATATCTTTTTATTTTGTGAAGGATAAACCGTAGTATAGGTCGGGCAGCTTGAATAGATTATCTTCTAAGGATTCATCAGACGAATTTTTTTAGCAATGCTACATATTTGATTCAAACAAATACAGCAGAAAGATAGAAAGAAGGATAGGAACATAAAAATGTACTAAAAACACAAAGCCTCCCAGAGAGCAATCTCAAAAAAGAAATAGCAGAAAAATATTTTCATATCTCACAGCACAGCTACAAATCCAAGGATTGTCAGCATATGAAAAAGAAATAGCAGAAAAAATCTTCATATCTCACAGCACAGCTACAAATCCAAGGATTGTCAACATATGAAACATAGAAATCCAAAAGCCAGTCTAAGAAAAAAAAGAAGTTTAAGGCATGAAAGAAGCTACAGGCAAAAAAAACAGCTTCTTCATCTATGCAAATTAAATACCATCAATAAAAAATTCACTTGTTATAGGATTTCAGTTTCTTACTAGACAGTTTAATAAGAGGCTGAACCAAGTGGCAAGAGGGTCCTGCCAATGGAAGGGTTCAAGAACGTGTTGACGGTATAAAACTGGAGGCAACTTATCTTCACGAAATACGCTCAAAAACCCTTTTTAAAGATCTTATTTCAAAACAGGGGATTTCCAAATGAATTATCTAAATAATGAAAAGGGAAGGATACTTCATATGATCATGGAGTGCAGCTTGGAAGTCATAAGCCTGTGGTCTTTCTCGGAAGCCTACACCAATAAACGCATGTCGAAGACGCCCACCTGCAGGGTAGTTTGTGTTCCTTCATGGTTAATCACATAATCCCAAATATCAAAATGCTGAAGATAAAAAAAAAATATAAGCAGCTTTTACTTCACATAGTAGCTTATTGCCTCTTATTTTGAATAATATCACAGAAATATAACAAAACCACAACAAGCCTTTATCCCACTAAGTGAGGTCGGCTACATGAATCGAGTGGGGTCGGATACATGAATCTTTTCTCCATTGTGTCTTATTGTGTGTCATATTTTCATTTAATTCTAATAAACAAATATTATTTTTTTAGACAACATACTAAGTCTTTTTAGATCTACTCTATTTTTCTTAACATAAATCAAATCTAAAACATCTACCCTTCTAACTGGGTCATCAGATAGTCGGCATTTAATGTGAATAAATCATCTAAAGAGACACTCTCTAATCTTGTCTGCCACTAGAGCTACCTCAACCATTTTACAGATATATCCATTTCGCATTTTGTAAATAAATGTAAGCCATTCATCAACTTGAGCATTCTCATCTCAGCAACACTTCACTTAATTTTATTGTTCTCTTTTCGGGCCAAGATTTTACGGCATAAAGTCTTGCAGGTCTCACCACCATCTTATATAAAATAATAAAATTATCCTTTAAGTTTAAGTAATATTTTTCTATCACACAATCGGCCCAATGCCTTCTTCAACCATCCAACTTGAATTCTACTAATAACATCCCCATCTATACCACCATCACTTTGAACAATGGACCCGACATAATTGAAATGTTCACTTCTTTTAATGGTCTGATCGCCCATTATTACAGCCACACCACTAGATCTATCACCACTACAACTACATTTTATGCATTTAATTTTGGATCTACTCAAACAAAAACCTTTAGACTCTAAAATTGACCTCCATAGTTCAAGTTTTACTTGAACTCTTTCTAGTTTTATCCACAAGAATGATATCATCAACAAAAAACAATATCAGCACTTTCTTTTCTAGAACTCTCCAAAGCATTTCTTTTGGAACCTTATCATAAGCGTTTTCTAGATCAACAAAAATCATATATAGATCCTCCTTACTCTCTTTGTACTTCTCCATCAAACCTCTTAATAAATGTATAAATTCCATAGTAGACTTGCCCGACAAGAAACCAAACTAATTTTGAGAAATTTTTGTATCACAACGTAACCTATGTTCAATTACTCTCTCGTGTAACTTTAAGGTGTGACATGTTAGCTTAATTCATATATAATTTGCACGCTCTTGTGCATCCCATTAATTCTTAAAAATAATAACCAATATACTTTGTTTCCACTTATAAGACTTCTTTTTAGTTTTAAAATAATATTAAAAAATTTAGTAAGCCAAAAAATTCTCAGATCTCCTAAACATTTTCACAATTCTATTGGAATACAATTAGATCATATTGTTATTCCAGACTTCATTTCTTTAAATCATTCTAAACTTCCATTTTACTGATGCAGCAATAGAAATATACACAATATAAATTGAGTAATTTATAGATAAGCTCATTCATGGAAGTATGGGCCCAACTAAACGCAGTAAAAATCAATTGAGAGTTTCATTGTCAATTAGTTGGGTTTGTTATCGACAACATTCCCATGTCAAAAAATTTTACCAATATTCTTGCAATAAAATTCTCTCAACTCTCTTTCCGAACAGCTCCATACTCACTAAAGATCTAGTGTCTTTCACTCTACAATCAGTTAGCATAATTGTGAAGTAACCTAAAACAAATTTACAAAAAACTGCTAGAATATTATGCACAAACTTAAGTATTTTATCTCTTCAAATCTGACTGCAGTAATGCAAGTACATTACATCACAGAGAAGCCTACGGTAGAATCATGACCATCCACAAATCACATGAAAACATTTTTAAAGGGAACTAGACTATAACTACTTAAAATATTATATTGGGATAGAAACAATCAAGCAAGATAGCCAACTCTCTTCAAGCAGCTTAACAGATGAATAGGACCCAAGAGCGTCAGACATGTTACAAACCTCTGCATCTGGAATTTAGGCAAAAGAGAACCTTGTAGTTAAAGTTAACTTTTTACATCTTAAACTCCTAACGCAGCCTTCCTGATAAAATTTAATGGTAGGATAAGCAGGAATATCATTCAACTTTAACTTTAAATAATAATTATCATGTTCCCATCAAATACTTAAAAAAATCACTAGCTGCAACTGAATCATTGACCATAAATAATCCCTTATTTCACCGATTCTCCAACCAATATAGTACCAATAACTTAGCACAAGAACGGTGCAATTGAGGCAGGTTTATAAAAATAAGTATATAAATACAAAATTTAAAACAAATAATTATTTTATTGAATTATTTTTCGAAAAAAAGGTTGGCTGTCATAGCTTCTATTAAAATATTATGTTCTCTTATGAATATAGTTCTGTATGTTGGCATTGTTTTCATCAAGTTATTTAAGAGCTTTGATAATTATAGCAATATGTTATAGATATTAAACTCCATAAAACTAAGAGGTTCATATTTACCTGATGAATTTACTGATTATTTTTGTATTCAAAATTTATTAGTTATTAGAAAACATTAGGATGCATTCAATCAATAATCATGGTTGTTTAAGAGTTAACGATCAATTAGGATGGTGTGAAGCTAGGTCAAACAGAAAGACCTACGAGAAACCTATCAGAAGAAAAAAACTAGAACGGCTAAAATAAAGTCACAGGGATAAATAAATTCCTAAAAATATTAGCTATTTTAAAATATCATATCAAAACTTCAACATTATTTCAGAGAAATATAAAAAAAAAGCTTCAGAATTAAAAATAATAGAAATTATGTATTTTCGTGATGGTTCAAGGTTATGGTTTCATAAAGTAAACAGAACGAAAGAATGCATATAAATTAAGTAAAGAAGTCATGATTTGCAAATCACAACTTTGGATGCCAAAAATAAAAAAAGTAACAAAAAAATAATAGAAAAAAAACAATTGAATAGGTAGTTCATCTCTCATGTGCCCAGTCTCACGCTTGTGTAGGCCCTTAAGTCTTCTGACTCTTATCCGGTACCATCCTAATGGCACATTCTCTAACCTTTGCATCTCCAACTTGTGCGGCCATTCGCGAAACAAACATTAGTGTCAAGGCATGCAATGGGAGGGATGCACTGCCGTTGATGTAAGTATCATAGAAAGTAGTGCTGACACTGGAAGAAAGGAAAAAGTTTTCAATAGTTGCATAATGCAATCCATAACTCTCAACTTATGCAGTTTGAATAAAATTAAGAGGTCGATAACCTTCAAACTTCCATTCCTCTAGTTATCTTGCTTGATGTTCTTAAAAAATTAATTATTTGTCCTCCAGCAGGTTGGTCTAGAAGTTCTTATGTTGCGCTTGAATTATTTAATTGCCTTCACGTATAAATTCATTAATCTCAGCAATAATTATACTTTGATTGTATGCGAGTGAATGTAAAATCAAGAGTATTGCTTCAAATCTCAAATTCCAAACTCTACATCCAAATAAATAAAAACAGATTTTTCAGAATGTTTTTTACAAACAATCAAATCTTTGAGTAATTAGAATCCACTGAATTTTCAAAATGCATGTGTTCAAAATATTTGCTATAAAATTACCTCTAGAAAGCAACAACTTGCTTCTTCAAATGCAAGCAATAAATATTAGAAATAGAATTCAAATGATAATGCAATAATCCAATTAATCTAAAGAAATCAGCCAGAAATTCAAGCCACAAAAAATCTGCCAGAAATTATAATTTAATCACCAAAATTAGAATTTTGATGGCCAATTTTAAACAAAATAAAAAATTTTAACACGCCAAAATAATTTATCTAGAAGAAATTAGATCAAGCAATGAAATCACCAAGAAATTTAAGCTTCTTCCTAAAAGATTAAATAATTACACTTATAACGCACTCAAAGGAATTACTATCCAGACAAAATTGAAGTTGGAAGAAAAAATATTTATCCAATCAAAATTAATAAAAACACATTTCAAATAACTGCTCATCCCTAAGTAGACAAGATTGTCACAATCTCAACCCAATGTGATTTTAAAACCTAAAGTTAATAATTAAACCTAATTGGAAAATTAAAAAATTTAAATAACCACAAAAAGAAAAAAAAATCCTTGAAATGGAAGGGCTGACTGCATCGTAAACCCATGCACAACAATGTCGCAAAGGTGTTATCGAGAATCTTGCAACAAGCCTGCAAGTGACGCCAACACTTGAAGGTGACAATCTAATACAGCTAAAGCCAGCAAGAGCACCAAAAGTCTGCAAGAGACGATTGTTCAAGATGTTTGCTGAAAGTGGTGTTAGGAGAACACACAAACAATTTCATTTGAAATAGTTATAAGAATTATAGGAATAGGCTGGGGGGAAACCACAAGACTGAAACTTAATTACGTTATGGCAAATGAATTGAAATTGCCAAGTGAAAGTAAAAGCATCCAAGATCCAAACCAACCTAATCTCATATCACCATATCAATCAATCTAACTAATAATCAAATACATCTTTTTCTTAAGATCATCATGTGCATAAATCAAAACCTGGGAAGAGAAGAATACTGTGAAGCGAAAAAATGCAAATACAAAGGCAAATGTGAGTTCCCTGAAGAATCGCATCATAATCAGTAAGCAAAAAAAACAAAGAATAATTCCCATTGTGCTCTCCGCAAAAATGGCATTTAGGAACCCACAATTTGATTATCAACAAATGTTTTAATTGTTATATTGTTGATCACAAGATAAAATATTGCCCATTTAAGAATTAAGAGCAATTTTAAACTTCAGCTGCTTAAGAGAATAATTATAGGTACCAGTACAAAAATAAATGACAGAAATTTCGCAAATGTCGACTTCAGAAGCACAATGAAAAAGGACAAGACAAAATTATCTTCAACCTTAACATCAACCGCAAAAATTTATAATGCATCTACATCCTGCATTTCAGTACCACCACCAGCAACAACTTTCAAT